TTTATTTTTCCTGACATAAGTGCTAAAAATATTTTCCCTGAGAAGGTGAACTGCCATCTCAGCAGGCATTATTTGAGATAATACATCTAGTGTTATCTGCCCAAGAGGAATTCAGGAGGGGGGTTTCAGCATGAAAGGCTTTTGTGCTTTGGGGGGGAATTTCCTACTGTTCAACAGGTTTTTGTTGTAAACATTAACCAGGTGACCTGCCAGCCTTGGGCTTGGAGGGCAGGGTGAAGCTGGGGAAACAGGTGGGACGGAGTGCCACTTTCTGTCCCAGGAGGCAGGCCAGGCACCAGACAGCCTGCATTCACCATTCTCCTGACATCGTGTGAGGACCACCCTCCCATTTCTCCTTCAAATGATTTCCAGGAAGACTGGTGATCTGTCCTGATGTGTTCATCAGAGGGTTTAGACAGAAGATTCACTCTTGCTTTGGAGAAAAAAAAAAAAAAGGAGAGAAAGGCTTGCTTCACCCAGAATTATTACAAATGAATAGTTCCCAGCTCTAGCCTTTTCTGAAAGTGGGAGGGCACTGGCGATGGTAACTCAAGAGGCAACTAGTAGGGAAGAAGGAAAGTGTTTCACCAGTTGCTGCTCACCAAGAACTAAGGGTTTTTTATGTAACCTGAGTTTCCACTGGCCCCCAGTCCCCCACATACATTGGAATGTAGTGGCAGATGGGGTGTCGTCATCAACCTAAATATCACAGGAACTTGTTCTTTTCTACATGTTCAGCGGAACCTTAGCTTCCTACAATTCCCCCCAACATGTTAACATTTCTGACTCTCCTCTGAGAAGTCTTTATTTATTTTTTTTTTATTTTATTTTGAGAAGTCTTTATATGTTCACAAGTAAGTGCATCAGCTACCAATAGCCTCTGCTAGATGCTACTGGCAGTTCCTTGGGAACCGAAGATTGAAAAATGGATGCCATACTACTTTCTGTGCAATATAATTGAACACCCCCTCTGACTCAATCATTCTACAAATTTAATTTATATACATTTTACATATACCAAATATTAATACAATAAGACTCATACAAAAGCTGGGCAAGATGGCATGCACCTGTAGTCCCAGCTACTTGGGATCCCTTGAGCCCAGGAGTTGGAATCCAGCCTAAGCAACATAGCAAGACTCCATCTCAAAAAAATAATAATAATAAAACATAAAGAGCAAGAGAGCAATGTGGCCTGTGTATTCTTGTATGATAATTTCCTAGATGGAATTAGTGATATGGGAAACTATTGCTCCATTACGAAAGGAAAAAGCATAATTCAAAATGGCAGAATTCAACCTGGTACTCTGAAGAAAGTTGATTTTTCATTGTGGTTGAAAAATGTAAAAGGCAGTCACTTAGCTGTCTCTCCAGTTTGCCTGCTTTTGTACCCTTAGGCATTTTCCACTGGAGTAAGCTTATTTCACCATTTTGTATGCAAGTAAATTTAAATCTATAGAATCCATGACTGTCCAATATCATAGACCATGAGGATGACAAACACCTTCTTCACTCAGCTCCATGCCATAATAATGTAAAGTCCTTAACCTGAAAGAAGTCAGCCCAGAGTGCCACAAAAACAGTCGCTTTTTTCCTCAGCTCTTCTCTGCCCTCACCCCAACCCCAAGCAAGTATTTTTCAGTTGGTTAGGCTAGAGGTCTGAAAACTTGAGTAATAAGAGACCTTCTAACAGGTACAAGGACACAGACAGTTCTAGGGGAACCACTTCCCAAATCCTTGGCTCCCACATACACTCTCTGCTGGAATTCATTTCTCACTACTTCAACCAGGTTGTCCATTTCTATTTCTCCTTTCACAGCCCTACTTTTTCCACTGTACAGAAAGAAATATACACCTTTAATTTCTCCTGATTCTTCCTGTGGTGCATTTTCCCAAGGTGTAATAAAAACTCTGGGGTGCCAAAAATGGGCAATTTGAAATGTTGGTGTCTGTAAAACCTGCTTCAATCAAGACAATGAAGCTGTAATAGAGCTGCTTGTCTTTTCTTTCTTTGATATATTTCTGTTACTACAAAGTCTGGCACTAGAAATGGGAATTTGAGCCAATATTAGGATGTTCTAAATTTAGATATGTAGAAGAATAGGATGGCAGGAGTGATGACAATTTTAAATTAATGACTTTATCTCTTTAGTTCCGTATTATTAAAATAGACATGGCTCCTGAGAGAAGTCACATAAGATTAGATATAAACAATTATATAAAACTATCTTGCAGTATCTTTTATTTTTAAACATCTACATTTGAAAAATAAAACTATTAAATTTTTGTTAATGAAAACTGAGGAGATTGGCAAAAATGTAAATAATTTTAATGTTTTCATGTAGTTATCAAAGTTGACTTTGGAAAATCTATTACAAATTTGCAACATTCATTGCAAAAAATGGAAAGTATTGTATGATTGTAGAAAAAGTTATAATTCTTTATGCACTGTTGATAGTTACAATTATGCTAGATGCCAAAGCATCACTCATTAACTCAGTGATTCATTAATTCACTCATCCAACAAATAATTCATTCATCCAACAATTAATTCATTCATTAATGCATTCATCCAAGAGCATCAGTCATTAACTCAGTGATTCATTAATTCATTCATCCAACAGTATAAGTATAAGTAACTACTAAATTCCAAGCACTATTCAGGGTAATCAGGATAATTAGTAACAAAATAGAGACTTCTGCCCTCAAGGTGTTTATAAACTAGCAGGTAAAAGCATAGAGAAGTATTAGTTATCTATTATGGATATCAAATTGCCCCAAAACTTAATGGCTTAAAAGCACAGACATGTTTTTGTCCACAGTTTCTGTGGGTCAGAAATCCAGGCACAACTTGACTAGATCCTCTGCTTCACAGTCTTTCACAAGATTGCAATCAGAGTGTCAGCCCAGGCTTTGTGGTCTCATCTGAAAGCTCCACTATGGAATGATCCACTACTAATTTCATTCAGTGATTGTTGACACTGAGTCAACAGTTCCTTGTGGGTTGTTGGACTGAGAGCCTGTGATTATCAGGCTTCTGGTCAGAAGGCCTCTCAGGTCCTTGAGACATGAGCTTCTCCCATATGGCAATTTGCTTCATCAAAGAGTTCAAGTTGAGAAGGCAATAGACAGAATCTGCCAGCAAAATAGAAGTCAAAGACTCATGTAACCTAATCATGGAAGTGACATCCCTCAACTTCACCATATTCTGTTAGTTAGAAATGAGTTACTCAAACAGAAAGGATTACACAAGGCTGTGAATACCTGAAGGTGAACTGGGGGCCATCATAGAGGCTGCTTACCGCAGACAGTAAAGGGGAATTAGGAGTGTAAGCCAAGAAATATGGGTAGGAATTTTTAACATTAATAGCATTCCCAGAGTAGGCCTCATTAAAGAGAAAACTGAACAAAAACCTGAAGGAGGTAAAGTTATCAGCCATATGAATATTTGTGGAAAACATTTCAGGCAGAGGAAACAGTGACTGTGAAAATTCCAGAGTGGAAATACCTTTGGCATGCAGAAGAAACACCAAGGAAACCAGTCAATATGGTGAGGGGAGTGGGCAAAGGGAAGAGTAATAGGTGATGAGCTCAGGGAATGGGGTGGGGAATTATATGGCCCATTGTAAAGACAATGCTTTCATTCTGGGTAAAAAGGGCATGCTGCAGGGTGTCCTGCAGAGAATGGACTTATGCTTTTAAATGATTGCTTCAGCAGATCTGTTGAAAATAAACTGTAAGAGGAACAGGCAGAAGCAGGGCTCCGCCTTCTTATGAGTTAGGAGGCTACTGCAGTAATTCAGACAGAAGACAGTGCCTCAGGGTAAGGTAGATATGGTGGAAGTGGTGGGGAATGATCAGATTCTGGATGTATTTTGAAAGGGTGCCTACAGGATTATGTGATGAATTGGGTTTGAGGTGAAGATGAAGACAGGATTCAGGGATGACTGATCTGAACGACCGGAAAAATGAATTTGCCATCAACAGAGAGTGGGAAGGCTGAAGATGAAATTATTTTAGAATTAAAGATTAGGAGTTCAGTTCCAGAGATGTTGAGTTCGAGAAGTCTGTTGGAAATGATGGGGGAGATACTCAGCAGGCAGGTGAACATGCCATTCAGGAATTCAGGAAACAGCATTTCTGTAATTAAAGGGATTCTCTAATCAGTTACCTTGGTACCTCATTGAAAAGATCATTGGCAGATTGTCGCAAAAATTGCAGTAGACAAAACATCTCCCTTACCTATTAATGAATCCAGGGATATTTTTAATATCTCCCAATTAATAATCCATATCCACTACTACAGCAAAGGAAATAGCACTGCTGTTTAAAAAAAAAAAAAAAAAAAAAAAAAAAAAAAAAAAAAAAAAAGCTATAGCATGCAAAGACTTTTCTAGTCTTGCATTGGATAAATTATTTTCAAATTTTCCTACTTTTATTTGTGTTGATTTAAGCTTTCTTTGGAAAGAGTGAAAAAGAACATCTATCATCTATGGAGCTGCTTCAATGCCCAGGCATGGGAGAGGCTTCATTTTTCAGATCCATTCTTTTCATCTTAATGAAATGCTACTTTATTCATGAACAAACTTGAGTCGCCAAAAGGTTGAGTCTGAATTTTCCCAGAACATTAGATATTGCCTTTAAGATGGCAAAATTGTATAAAGCTAAGAGGATTGAATTCCATGTTTTTGAGGAGATACATGAGGAAACTCATACCCATTCATTGCTTTCTACAGAAATAAAATGGATGTCACAAAAAGGCATCTAGCACATTTATTTGGATTGAAAAAATAAAGGCAGATAAGTGACATTGAATAAGTTTATTTTGGCTGATTGTTTGACCAGTAGGGATCAGCTTTATCAATCAGACATTCCCAAATAGCGAATGAACTAAGTATGTGGCTCCAAGTTTAGATGAATTTGTATTTAAAGAACATGACAATATTTTGAAGTGATTTTCAAAAATATCATATTGACAAAGGTATATCAAAGATAACAAATTTAAACTTTGCCAACACTTTGAATTTATTATAGTAAGCAGGGCATCTCCATGTGAAAGAGTAACTGGTACAATTAGCCATCATTCAGCGAGTTGTGGTAATGTCGTCTTGGCATTCTTCCCAGAAATTAAAAACATAAATAAGTCAGGGTCTGTGAAGGGTCTGGGATTTTTTTCTACTTGCAAGCTAATAAGTTAGTCTGCTACAATTTCATGGACAAGACATGGAACTCCTGGCTCAGAGACTACAACCTTTGTTATTCTCAACACAGCAAGAAGCATGAGCATGATGTTGGCTCATGTCAGTTTCCCATGTTCCCCATGTCTGAATGGATACTGTGTACACTGTGGGTTTGTATCCTACTGAGCTTGGGAGATTCACCGCTTTCATAGCAAGCGGAAGCAACTCTGGTGTGTGTGTGTGTTTGTTTGTTTGTTTGTTTGTTTTTGATCTGGTGAGAGATGTAAACTCATCTCAATGTTGCTCGTTACTCTGAGAAATGTCCCTGTAAAAAGCAATAAGAGCTTTGCATTCTTGGCATACTCAACAAGAATGTGCAGGAACACTCAGGGCCCATGGCAGAATGCTTCTCCCAAGAAAATACTCTCATGATTGGGTAACAAATTTTTCTAGAAGTTGCAACATTTCCATTCTTAACCTTGAACAAAACTGAAGGAGAACCTCATCAAGTTGTCAGTGATGGACCATTAATAATAATCTTGATAATAGAATACTACATGGTTTCTGGCAGAAAACTCAGATGTAGTTAAAAGAATTTCGTAAATTGCCATAACAAAATTCCTTCCATTCCCACCTTCTTATTTATGTGAGAGCAAATGCTCTCAGTGCTCACATCTGTAAATGGAAAAAAAGAATAGAGTTAATGCCAAACCTTCACGCAAACAATTAGTAATATCCATTCTGGATATATGAACTCATGGAAAAATTAAAAGCCCTATTAATTTTATGATATATTTCCAATAAATGTTAATTTTAATATTTAGTAATCATTATTTACAACATATTTATGCTATATTGAGTAACCATGTACTAGTAATAATGATAATGATAATTCAGTCCAAATGAAAATTTTAATACTTAGCTCTATAGTTGCTAGAAATTAAAACAATGTTATTGATTGATTGATTAAGACAGTGTCTCCCTCTGTCACCAGGCTGGAGTGCAGTGGCGTGATCTCAGCTCACTGTAACCTCTGCCTCCTAGGTTCAAGCGATCCTCCCATCTCAGCTTCCTGAGTAGCTAAGACCACAAGTGCATACCACCATGCCCAGCTAATTTTTGTATTTTTTTTGTAGAAATGGGGTTTCACCATGTTGCCCAGTCTTACTTTTATTTACAAAGTTTAAATTTGAAGTTTAATTTCAAGTTTGTATATACATTTATCTGTTGAAGTGAATTCTCTAATAGAGTAATAAATAACATATTTGCAAACATAATGCACTACATTAGGATAAAATTTGTCATGGGAAATAAAATGGGATAACACAGGTTCCAGAAGGAAAAGGAATGCTGCAAATTTCCAACTGTTTAGAAGAACTTTCATTTATCTTTCTTTAATGAAAGAGGGTGGGTGTCAAATTGCTGAGGATTAGATTTCATTGCATGTACTTGGAAGAATGAAAGAACATTTGAACCGAAACGTCAATATTTATAAGACACCAGAAATTAAGTCTTTTACATAATTATAATTTTAAAATTCAGGTACAAATTTTCAAATGTGTTAGAGGATATGTCATTTTTAAAAATTATTTTAAATAGTATACAAACAAGACATAGGCTATATTTTTAAAAATAATAGTCTGAAGGCAGTAGAATATGAGAGACAGGGAAAACCACCCCTATTCTTGAAGCTTAGCATATATTGGGGGCAAAGAGAAGTTTTGTAAAGATTAAATGAAATAAGTGTATGAAAGCACCCAGTTTGGAGCTGTCTCATATCAGGGATCTGATACAACCTAGTTTCCCTTATACTGAACTAAAATCCCTTTGTTGCATTGAAATCACATGTTCTTCTCTCATATACAGGGGAAACAATTACATGACTCGTAATCAACTTTCATTAATATCTCTTTATAACCTAAAGAGAGTTAAATTACCTTTCCAGTTTCTCTTAAATAAGCCTTAAATGTTAATATTTTTAAAATAAGAAGAAAGGAGAAGGGAAGGGAGAAAGGAAGAAAGGGAGAGAGGAAAGGAGGAAGCTTTTAAACACTACAGCACTGCTTTCCAAAACCAAGCAACTGAGATAACTTTTGTGTTGACTTAAGCACACATTTAGCTAAATGAATTTTCCATTGTCCCCACCTGTTTCCCAAATAGTTTCAACTGTTTTGCCTCTGACCTGCTTTGGCCCAATCCTATATGAAGTCTGTGCTCTCGGAATATCCACTTCTGGACTCCTCCACCGCAGGGTTGCCCTTAGCAGCAGCTGGGAAAACCTCCTGGGGAACAGCTGGTGTCCAAGGCCCCAAAGCTCTGCCATCACCCAGGGTGATTATCAGTTTTCTGCAATAACGAGCTTTGGGGGACATATTTCAATAAAATAACACTTCACATTTGTATAGAATTCTACTGCTGATGGATAACTTTCACAATCATTATCTCATTTGTTCTCACTTGGTGAGAAAAACCTGGCAGACTCTGTAACATCATAGCTTATCCCAAGACTGACAATGGGGAGAAAAATCACTTTAATTCTCAAGACCCCATTTCCTTACTACCCAATGAGAAGCCCAAACTAGATGTACCCTTAAAATGTATAATTGTGGGCAAATGTCTCATACTCCATCTACTGCTGAATCCACCTTCATGAAACCCAAACTAATCTCTGTGCCTTCATCACACTACTCCTTACCCACTCAAAGGACAACTAAAACAACCAACACACAAACCAAAGAAGTTACTTCATTTAAATCCTCCAAACAAGCTAGCAGGAGAGGTGGCTGGGTTATTATTATCTCTGGATTTTAGAAGAGGACATTAAGGTGAGAGTCAATGACTTCTGGCAATTACACAGTAGCAAAATCCTGCCTTCTAGTTCAAGGAAATTAAACCATCTTGGAAACAAAAAAGTTAACAGAAGTTTATTGCTGACACTATCTTCAAGGATATCCAACTCCACAACACTGACAACTGTCAACCATTGGTTAGAGGCATGATAACCAGCTAGGGCACATGATACTTTAGTTTATCTCTGGTCTACACAAGCCAGTTTGTGGAGCCATACATGCCTCTATGTCAAACTCGACATTTTGAGCACATTTTCAAATTGCTAATTCCTTAAAAGCAGGGATGGTGTCTAAATTGAAGCCTTCACCTCCAAGGGGCTCTGCCCTGTGTGTGCCCTGCAAATACTTGTTGACTTGTTTCTCCTGTTTTGGGGTGGGTCTCTCCTTGACAACTGGGGGCCACATTTAGCCAAGCAGCTGCCCACCGGCATCTAAAGCCTGTGATATGTAGTTCTGGCAGCATCTGAAAGGATTTATTATTACCATCCCATGATTTCACTATTATTACTATCACCCTTATGAAAGTCAGTGGCTGAACCCACTATAAAGCATTAAAACGATTTTTAACATGGAGCAGTCTGTTTTCTGCATTCCCCCACGCCACCACAGTTATGGAATTTTTTCATCTAGTTTCTGCTCACTATTGTAGGGCTCTAAGAGATGGCCTTCAGCCATAAATAAGGCAACCTGAGTATTCCCTTCACTATTTTCACCCTGTCCCAGTGGTGGCCTTGGGGAAGAGAAGGCTCTTCAGGAGGCTCATGACCAAACAGGAGGCAATCATGATGCCTGTGTGTGATACAAAGCACACTTACCAACGAGTCAAGAGATGCTGGTTCTGTGACGGGGGGCAAGACTCACTGCTAAACTGGGCCTTGGATCCCTAACACACCAAGTAAGTAACTAAGTAAGATTTTCCTGAAGAATACTTCTTGCTTAGGACCAGCTCTAATTTAACCTTTTCCCTGGCTTCTGGAGATTTCCACAGGGAAGATCATCTCACTGGGGAAAGATCTCAGGAAGACCCACTCCTCACATTCACGTCTAATACTTCACTCATCAAGTTGCATCATTTTAAAACCAACCCGATTTACATAAGAATTTAGAGAAAACAAAAGTAGTTCTTTACCAGGAAGTCAAAATTTCTGACCTAAAAGGTGCTGTGGTGAAAAAAACATTTAATTAGAAATCCTAAGTCTTGAATTTGATCCCATATTTTTCAGTAGATGATCTCATCTTTTTCCATGTGGCCCTCAGCGAGTTCCCTCATTCTTCATCTTCCAAATTTGAGTATCAATACCTTTGGCTTACCCACCCAAAATAGTGCATGATTTGTGATTTGAAAACCTAAAGTACAATCCTATATATAGATAAATTATTAAATTAACATCAGTTCCCTCTTTTGACCCTAGAAAAATCTCAGAAGAACTAAAGGCTTGACACAATATTCAGAAGATGTTTAGTAATGTGGCCGTTGGGTTTGTATTTTGTATTCTCTTGTAGAGTTTTAGTGTTTTAGTGAACCTTTTGATCCAATTTGATTTTAGCAACCATTCATTGGGAGGCCACTGTGTCCTTATATTGTGCTGCAAACAAGAGAAGAAATCGAAATAAGTATACACTTGACCTCCAGAAGTTTACAGTGTTGTGAATTCTCGACTTCCATAAAAAGAAATTGTAAAAAAAAAAAAAAAAAATTAAACAGGATAAAGACATGTTAAAGTGTGTCTAGACCCATAACAAATGCATAATCCAGCCAAGGTGGAATCAAGTTTTCAGTAAGTGGAAAAAGTGATGTTGAGTAGACTTTAGGGCCAACTGTGTGAGGGAGACAGAACCAGTGATAGACTGTGAATGAGTGGGGCTAGCAGTTTTCTACATTTATAACAGCAGACCTTCAGTAACAAATGCCAGAAAAAAATATTAATAAAAAGACTTAATATTCTAAGGATTGGAGAGAAATGTCTATTTCTCTCTGAATATTCAATAGCAACAAATTTCAGACCATGATTATTCACATAATAATTATCAAACCATCCAAATTCGTAGCATTTATATAAACCATATCAGAACAGAATAGCACTACTCTTTTTAAGTATAGCTATCTGTAACTGTGTGGTCTAAAGGAACTCTTTAAAACACTGCCATCTCCTACCATGAGTATACTTTCCCAGAATGGCTGTTTGTGCCCGAGGCCTTCCCCAGGCTGACCCCTTCACAAAGCATTGGATCCAGCCACAGGTTCATCAGTATTTCCTGAACACACTCTGCACATCCCTGCCTCTATGTCTTTGCTCAAGCTGTTCCCACATCTGAGAAAGCCCTTCCCTCCCTCTCCATGTATATAAGCTCTCCCTATCATTCACGACCTAGCTGAAACCCATCTCCTCCACGAAGCTTTTACTACCTGGCCCACCACTTGTTAATCTCTGCTTCCGAATGCCAATAGTGCTTATTTTCCATTCTATCAGTCTGTAATTATTATATTTTATATATGTGTATATATCTGTGCATATATTTCCTCCAGATTCAAGTCCTATCCCCAAAAGAGCCTGTAAGTCTCTCAAGAGCAGGGAACATCAACAACTTATTTCTAGTGCTTAATATGGTACACTGTGACTTGACAGGCAGTCACTAAACACGTTATCGAGCATGCAGTCAAGTCCCACACCACCCACGTTTACCATAACTCCACTATAACTACTTCCCACTTGAGAAATGGCCCAAATAACTTAACAAGTTTAAAGAGCTGTATCTGAGGTCATATATACTGATACAACCTAAAAGGAACCCAGTATCAAGAGATAGAGATTCATTCATTTGAAAAAAATTAATGTTCTTACTCTTTAAAATAACACATGCATCATTTCAGTATATTCCATCAACAGAGGCATTAATATAGATTTGCCTATCTGAAAAAGGATTTAGCAGAGATCATTTCTCCTTGCAATGGGACAGCTGAAGAGGTGTAATTTAACAGCTTTCAGAGGCCCGTCACTGGGGTGATTGAGGTGGACAGAAGGCATGGACAGGACCAAGTCCCTTAAAAGACACAAACAGGTGGGAGAGTGTGCTGGGGGTGGGCAGAGGGCTGGGGAGTACAAAAGGAGGAGGCTCCCCTTCAGAGAGCAGAGACAAGAGGAGGCAGGGAATGAAACTGCCCGAGGAACAGAGAGGAGAGGAGAGGAGAGGAGAGGAGAGGAGAGGAGAGGAGAGGAGAGGAGAGGAGAGGAGAGGAGAGGAGGGGAGAGGAGAGGAGAGGAGAGATCAGATCTGTAGCTAGGTCACATCTGGACAGGACCCAAGTCCAAGGTAAAGCGAGAACAAGTGACGGAACTAAAGAATGAAGGAGAAATGGGTGGACAGGGCACAAATAGGGGAATGACAGCCTATTCGGTGAGGATACGAAATGCACATAAAGGACAGATGAAGATGATTTCTTTGTGTGTGATTAGAAGGGTCACAATCACAAAGATAACAGTGAAAGGAGAGGGAGGAAAGGGGAAAAGGGAATAAGTAAGAAGACGAAATAAGCAATAAGGGTCTAAGTACTGATCTGAATGCTTAGAAAATCACCAGGCTGTTAGACTGAGCCAAAAGAAGAGCCACAGCCGTACCCAAGAGGGGACCATCAGAAAGACAGAAGCAGGCAATTTAAGTAGCTAGCTACTGGGGTAAAATGAAAAAAAAAAAGAAAAAATAGAAGATGGAAAAGGTGAGAAGCAAAAGAGGGAAAACCCAAAGGAGACACTGGCCCAGAAACCTTTTTAACTTTCTGTAAGAATCTTCAAGGCCCCAAACTAGGCCAAGATTCTGACTGACATTTCTGAGCTCACCAGCTGCCGTTTCCTTGAGAGAATTCTGACAGGAAGGCATAGAAATGCGAGCCAACACTGCCAGCTCTGGAAAATAAATAAATAAGTAAATAACTACCCACATCCTAAACACCTCAGTGGGGGCCGAAGCCTGCTGAGGAAGAAAGCCCAGCGAGGAGGAGGGACCCGCCTGCAACTTTTCCCCAGGTATGTGCTGAGCTTTCCCTGCGCGCTGCTTTCTCCTCTAATCGTCCTCTGGCCGTTCCTGCCTTGCCCATCTGTCTTTCTTTCTTTGTGAATTTTTGGGAAGCCCTGCGGGCGATGTGCTTCTGTCATCTGAAGCCAGCAAGGCAGCGTCTGTAGAAGCAGGTGAAGCTCCAAGTTCTGCATCTCAGACAGGCGGGGGAGGACAGCTGGAGTCCAGATCCGACAGGCAGAGCCAGGCGTGGGGAAATGAATAAGAGAAAAGCCCCCAACCGCCAGGCTCAGTGCATGGAATGACTTGTTGGCCAGTACTGACAGTGGACTTGCTTCTGGGTGCTGGGGCTTGACGCAAAGGCAGAGGGGGAGGAGGGTGGGCCTGGAAGACAGAGGGACACTGAAGGGAGAGATTTCAAAGTAATCCCTGAAGGGGCTGGTCAGTCACCTGAAGAAGAGCTACCAGTGTCAGGAGAGATGGATGAGAACCTGACGGCATGTGACCTTGAACGTGTGGCTTGCCCTTTGAATGCCTTGGCAAAGTATTTTGAGTTTCTGTTGAACTTTGCTCTCAAGCAACTCAAAGGAGTTTATTTTTAATATGTAGTTTATCTCAAATATTCAATTGCTGCACGAGGATGGGTTTTTGGATGACCGCATAGATGTCCCCACTAAGAGAATTTAACTATTCCACTAAGAAATTAAGTCCCTGAGCAATGCATTTATTTGGAAAACTAGGACAAGAACCCCATGCTACTGACTTGGTCCCTGGACCTTGAGCAATTCTTAATCCTCACTCAATTTAATAAGTGCAGGTAAAAATTTTTTTAAAAAGTAACAGCTTCAGGAGCTGTAATAAAAACCCTCATCATTATTCTGTATTATACATTGTATTATATTATCTTTATGATCCCTCTACAAATGTGATATAAAGTCAAGTGAGTTAGAGAACTCTCTGCTGGGCTATCTTCTCAAGAAAAACACTCATCTCATTTTACACCCATTCTTCACCAAAACTCACAGAAGGCTTATTGGTAAATTTTGGAAACCAATGAAATCATTCCTGGTGGCAAGCAACTGCTCAAGCCAAAAGCACTAAGTGATTTCCAGCAGCGTTTCCCTCTCTTTGGAGTGCTGACTGCCTGTCCGCACCCTCATCAGTGAATGCACCTACAGCCATGCCCTTGGAAAGGGCTCACACCTTCCTAACTTCTGTGTGGTTTCTATTCCTCTCCCTCATCTCTTTGCTTTTAGGAAGCTCAGAATATAAGGGCCAATTTTTTTGCCCTCAAATTGCAGAGCATCAGAAACACTGACCTAAAGCAGTGGTTCTCAGAGTGTGGGCCCCAGACCAGCAGCATCAGCATCACCTGGGAACATGCTAGAAATGAACATTCTCAGTTCCTACCCTGGCTTCCTCAATCAGAAACTCTGGGGGTTGCAGCCATCCATTCCCGTGATTCTGATATACTAAATTAATTAAAAGGTTAAGAGTTTTTCAGGACCTCTTCCCAGAATCCACAGTATTCAGATCTCCGTACATGCTGATCATCTACAGAGCTAGAGTTTGTAAAAGAGACCCGTCCACAAAAAAATACCTCTCAGTTCCTTGTTCCCTCCACCTGTACAATAGAAATATGTCTAATATACTTGTTACAATGCTTAAAACGGGACCTGCACACTGTAAAGTGCTCTGTAAGGGTGGTGTTAGTGGTGGCGGCTTTATCCGCCTGACCCTTACTGTGCAAAAGGCCTTTGGCAGATGGTGGAGAAATCAAACAGGAAGCAGAGTGCTGGCCCTCTAGGAGAAGAGATGTAGATGTATTACAGGTACGCGAGGAATTACACTGCTAGATATGATGTGATGTATGTCTAATTACAGACATAGGAACTAAGAAGAGGAAGAGAATTGAGAGAAAACTTTGGGAAGAAAGTGGTTTTTGAACTAAGCCTTAAAGAAAGGAATTTTAACTAGTGAAGATGGGCAAAGGAAAAGGAATATTCCTGATGGAAACTGAGCCTAGGGAATATTGGGAAGGTTAGATATTAGTGGTCAGCTCTAGCATTCCTGTCACTAAGATGTTGACTACTCACACTGTACAGAGGGATCACCCTGTTTCTGGATCTAACCATTTATCACCATGTTTGCAGAAATTCATCCTTTAATCCAAACTAAGTAATTTTCTTTGGACTGTTGTGAAGTGAGTCCTTTCCAGGATTAATGATTTTATTACTATAGAATCCATATCCCTCTTTCTTGTTTATTTTTGGATCAATGTTTTTCAAAGTCTTCTGGCCACTTGTAACAGAATAAAATGGTGGGGGTGGGGAGGACGGTGCTGTGCAAAAATGCAGGTTCCTGGGCCCTGACCCAGATCACTTATCTCAGTGTCTGTCAGATCAAGTCAGAAGAATCTGCATAGAAACTTGGGATTCTAATGTTCCTTCAAGAGTGAAAGCAACTGCCCTAGGGCTGTTATTTCCTAAATTTGCTGAGCATAGAAGTCACCTAGGAGTGACTGCTTTAAAAATGGATCCCCAGCTATTACCTTGAAGATTCTGATCCCGTGGCTCTGGAGCGGACTGCTTCCTACCAGGGAGCGGGGACTTTAATAAGTGCCTCAGAGACACCAAGAATCAGGCAAGGTTTGGAAATACAGCATATTAGAATGAATGCGTGCTTTGGGTTAGAGAGTAACATCAAGTCATAAGTCTGCCATTTACTTGCTGATTGATTTTGGCAAGTTTCTTAGCCACTTTGTCTCCAACTTACTTAGCCTGCTTGCGACAGTTTTATCAAATGCCTTTCACAAGATTGTTGTAAGCATGAATCCTCTAAACAAATGGCTTAGTATAATGTTGGCTCCCTCTCCTCCCCTTACCCCACCCTCCCCTGAAGTTCCAGCTCCAATTCTCCTGGATGAGAAGCAGGGCAAGGACAACAGTGATGGTGGAATGCCACTGATACTCACCTCTTCTGGGGAAGGTGGCAGAATGCCAGCAGGAAGAGAAGGTGGGCTCTTGGAGCTGGCATTGCTCTTGGCTGCCTGTGGGAAGTTAAATGGGACTCCTGCCTGTGATCAAATCAACATTCAGAACTAGCCAGTTCTCTAAAAATAGCAAGACATGCTGGCTGAACCCCAGAAAAAATAAAGTCTCATCCCGACTTACTATCCCATGCTTGCCTTAAAAGGAGGGACCTCTACTTTATTTCCGACCTCCTCAGCCAGAAGATGGTGAGCCCCAAATAATTTGGCTTTTACTTGGTGAGCAGCAGAATCACTTCTGTCTCATGGACAGTCACCAAGAACACCAGGAATAGATACCAGTGCTTAAGGTCACAAGTCCTCAGACTTTGAAGTGGGTGCATCAGTGCAGGCCACACCTTCTGCAGACACTAATAGGGTTCTAATTCCCGTAAAAGCATGCAATTCTGTTTAGGTTTTAGCAAGCTAGTATCAGTTGTTTAAAACTTCCAAGCTTCACCAGGGGCAGAGAAGGAATAGGGAGAACTAAGATGCCTGTATTAGAAATTCAGAGAGGCGGCTACAGGTGATTGTTCTGCAGAGAATTCTGGTTTTCTATCCTCATCCAGCAAAGGGCAGATAAACTAAGATTAGATCTATCATCAGAGGGAAAATGCCCTGTGCTCAGTAAGGGGACAGTCTGAGCATCTCATCATATATATCCTTTCACAAAACTCCTAAAAATGAGACTGGCATCCCAGACATTCGGAACCTGTAATGATTATTGTCAGAAATGATACTGATGAATACCTTTTTTTTTTAACAAATCCTTTTAACACATATGAAAATATTTTTAAATATTTTTTGAAAGCATACCAAAATTGTAGGAAGAATATTTTTGATAATATTTATGCATTCTCAAGTATCTTTGAATAACCCCTTACATAAAAACAATTGTCATGTTAATGAAACCCTTTGAAGTAGATCAAATATAAGGATTTCTATGTAGTAAGTAGATTCCATTGCCAGATTAATACTAATTAATATATTAATTACATGTTAATTAATATAATACATATAATTATTAAGATCAATATTATGTTGATTGTATATATTTAATAGATAATGTTAATAATAGTAATAGAGATTTATTAGACTTCAAATACTGTGCTCATGGCACACTACATAAATCTAATTCCTCCCGTTGAGGAAGCACTGTCAGTCTCACTTTACAGATGAGGAAGCTGAGGCTGAAAGAGGTTAAGTAGCTTGCTCAAGTCACAGATGTCCAAGGCAGGCTGTTTCTCCCTGCAACCCTCCATAGCCAACAACCTTGAAGATCGCAACATTGCATTTGTCTTACTCAGACTTCTCTCAGTCTCAACCTGTCCTTGGTTTTACCCAAATCCAATAGACTTTCTAAGGACCATTAATGGGAAATAAGCATCCTTCTGTCTCTTTAATGTGTTGAGTCATTTATGTTCAAATACTGCCCTACTCAGCAAAAGAAACTGAAAAAGAACCATGATTGCTGTTTATGCTTTTCAGGCTACTTTTTTACTGTTACTTCAGTCTGGGACGCTTTTAAATGGTACTTGCTTCTCAGGACAAGGGAAAGGATATGATAGTAATTTAAGGGTTTTGAGCAGTTGTCCGATTATGAGGCAGGGCTGGGGTGTGGAATAAATCTTTTTTTCAATAACCTGTTGAGTGACATTTTATATCACCATTGGTCCGTTCTCCTAAGAAACTCAAGATATTCACATGTGTTATCTCATTAATCTTCAACCCATTCTTTGGTGGGCAGCTGGGGTTATACAACTGCTATTTACAGATAAGCAGCATGGGATCTGGTATAGGAATGAGGACCAAAAGCTGGTAATTTGGCCAATATCACCCTGCACACAATTGGCCAAGTGACACACCACATCTCCTAATTCTTTCCATTAACGGTGCCTACTAAAGTCAAAAGATGTGGGTAGACAGGAAACTAAATAAATAATCTGGAAAAAAACCCACATCTAATTGTCATATAGATGCCCTTTGCCCTATGCAAAGCACAGAGAAATGTGTCTTTATGTTCTCCATCCCAGATTTTTTTACCTACTATTTTTGTCTTGTCTGAAATACGTTGGTTTCGTCATAGTTTGTTTTTCCAGTCTACCTTTCTCTCCATTCTCTAACCTGTTCCATGACTTTTCTTTCTTGTATCTTAAGCTAGATGTCCAGGAAAATGGGAAGAAGGTTTAGACAAGGCTTTCATCACAGATATTCCCATTTCGAACTTTCTCTCACTTTCAAAATTCTCTATTCATTCTAAATTGATAAGAATTTAGTTACCTGGACTCATGAATTGTCAAGTAATTGGTTATTAACATTTGTTTTTCTCCTGCAGATTTTGCAGTGAACTTTTAAGAAATCTTTTCACCCTACAAGGTTGGGCTTGGCAAAAGACAAACCAATTCATTCAAATGCTGGGGACAGTCTAATGAGATAGTTTACACTGTCTTGGCTGTCTCAAATCTTTTCCCTGGAAATCTTTTTCTTTTGTATTCCTTCATGAATGTATAAAGTTCAGCCTGGCTCATGAATAGCAAGTCTCTTAAAGCTGACTCTTTCTAGTTCTTTGAACATAAAACTAATGGTTCTTCTCATCGGTGCAAACCCTCACTCCTCACAACTCAAATGCCAACACGTTGGAGGATCTCCATCTGACAGATGTAACTAGTTAAAATGGACATTTACTCAGCTCTTAAGTTCCCTGGTTCTGTGAAAGAAATGAGACATTTTTATTTTCTTAGAGGCACAGCCACACCTCCTTCCTTCTTTGACCAAGCTACCTCCCTGACATCAGCCCCCGATACTGTGTTTTTGGTTGCCCACTGCCCCCAAACTTAGAGGAGGAAGGGTAGCCCCAACCTCTCACTTCTATAAAGCTCATACTTGACTATGTGAGAAAACAGTGTTTTCAGAGCAGAAGCTTATATAGCCATTGGATGGGATTAAATGAGCCATTGGATGATTCCCAAGGTCAGCCCAAAAGATTTTGACTTGGATGCCAGAGACATTTTCCTATTTTCCTAAGAAACAGTATGGTTTCTAAGCCAACTCCATCAATAACACCCCAAGTGCAAAGTCGCAGAAAGGATAAAGGTACACCAAGTCAAAAACCCATAGTGTTTCCTTTCCTTCCTTCTCAACATTTTTTTTAACCTTCTAAGCCTCTCTCCATGGGTTGATCCAAAACTGTGCCTCCAATCTGATTAGTTTTTTTAAAAGAAGTACCATTCCCAAATATGATAATTAATTCATTTCTATTATCCTCATTTTTCTCATCCGTAAAATCAGATAAAATCACTACATTTCATAGAGTAGGCAGGATTCAAGGAGCTCACATATGCAAAACACTGAAATGATCCTGTTATAGAAAGCATACTTATAAAAAGTTACCTCTTATTTTTATTACTGTGATTAAATATTTTTAACCACCCCAGCCAGTGCTGTGAGCCTCAAACCTTTTTTGGGGGCCAACTCTTCCTTTGGAATATGTTTGCCCATTTTCTGGCAGAGAATCAGATACCACAAAGTTCAAAACCCCATATCCCTCCAGTCAGGGTGGCCGTCCAGACCCCGAGTGACTCAACAGCTGCCAATGTCCCTCACCCTTCCGTGGCTCAGGCCTCACAGACTGTGGGGCAGGTGATGGGCTAGGGGGAACAGAAGCCCGACAAAAGGATCCTTCCCACAATGAACAATGTGTGCTTGGAATGCTGCACAGGCAGCTGCTGCCCATCAACAAGCACCCAAGACAGACAGACATACAGTAGGAAGTACAGGAGGACCAGTGTGTTTCTAAGCATGAGTGGCTCTCTGTGTGAATGTGGAAAATTTCTCTGTTGGATTCTCTCTTCTTTTTAATTTTCCCTTCACTGGATCCCAAACATTTAAAAAGGATCACATCAAAATGCACAAAAACAGCAGCAGTGAATTAATTAGTAGTAATAACTAAGGACTGGATCGACTGTAGCTGCACGAGAATAAGCCAGGGAAACTTGGTGCTGTTTACCTGTGAACAAACAGTAAGGGAGGATTTGGTCCCAAGCAGCACTGCCACTCCTCACAACAGATTTATTTCAGGATGGTTTGGTTGGGGGGTATTTAGGATGAGTTGAGATCCCAGTGATCCTTCCCGCTAAGCGTTTCCTACCCAGGCAAGGAGGAAAGATGCTACAAGTGGCCCACATCTGAGATGCGGGCTGCTTCTGGATGACACTGCTTCCCGAGGCCACATGCTTCTTTATATCCCCATATGGATTACTTTGCTATGGAATGTAAGGAAGTGTGTGGTTTCGGCAAGTGACTCCTCGCTGGCCCCAGGGTACCACCCAGAGCACAGGCTTGGGGACCTTCTTCCTCATCAGGGCTTTGTGCCAGCAAATATATCCCTCACCAAGGAAGCAAGAGCCTCTGAATCCCATCTAGGCTCCTCCTGAACACCCCTTTATTCCCTTCTTGAGGTGTGCTTGCTCAGCCCACAGTTTCAGGTATACTGACTGCTGTTCCACAGTCCCCACTGTGGCCAGTCTCCCAGACCTGGCTCCTCTGGCTAGCCTGGCGAGGAAAGGCATTTCCCCCAAAGGTTTTTAACAGAGTCAGCCCCCACCCTCCCAGCTCCTTCCTCTGGTCATAATGCTCCTGAAATGAGAGGTTTCTACGAACCAAACAGAATCATAATTTCTTTCAAGCCATGTGTATCATGTGCATTTCTCAGGGCTTGCACTGTACTGAGGCAGATGCTGTGAGTGAGGTTCAGGAAACCATAATAAGTAACTCATCCTGGGTCACAGTCCCCTGACTCTGCTCTGCTGCCCTTTCCACTTCGCACCACAACCCTGTCACAAATGGACTCTGCAAGGTTGTTTGAGGAAAAGCCTTGAGATGCTAAAATAGCGATTAACTCAACTAATGGGCAAGTTCCTTTCTCCTCTCTTTCCTAAACCCCTGTGTTCCCAGCTGTGACTTCAAAGGGCTTGAACCCACACCAAGAAAGTGCTGAATCTACAGAGGGAAGCCTTGAGCAGGAGGGGAGGCTGCAGTCACCCAAGGCTCATGCCATCCCTCCACAAAGAGTTTCAGAACAAGGGAGGAGGATGAAGGGGCCTCCCTCCCTCACTTAAACCCCCGTTCCAGGATGGCTCCTGCATCCCATAGCTCTGACTCCTTGTTTTTAGGGTGAGTGCATGTGAGAGATTACAGCTGGGACCACACTACGTTTACACGATGAGTTCCTAAGCAAAACCACAAAAGGAAACCGAAGTGTGCCAAGATGCACAAGACAGGGCTGTCAAATGAAACTGAGCAGCAGCAGAACAAGGACACGGGAGAGGAGGAAAGGGAGGGAAGAAGGAAGGATGCACCACGTTTGCACAGGAGATGGCAGAGGAGTGCAGAGCAGCTGGCAATGAGGGGCCCCCTGCCCTCAGAAGCGACAGCACCCACAGCACTGGGCCAAGGCTCCCCACTGCCCCAACTGGGCTCAGTAACACCTGTGACACAAGCCTCCCACCTCTTCCAGAAACCAGACAGTTATCTAGTGGCCTTTAAGGGCATAAAACCTGTACTTTTCGGGGGGGTGGAAGGAACTTGGAAGAACACGGTAAATTACCAGAGATGGGACAGACTTCTCACTTTAGATTAGTGGTCCTTCAGTTGGAGACGATGTCGTTCCCCAGGGGCATTTGGCAATGTCTAGAGACATTCTCAATTGTCACAACTTGGGGGTTCCTGGCATCTAGGGGTTGGGAACCAGGGATGCTGCTGAACATCCTACGATGCACCAAACAGCCACCCCCCCACCCTCCAACACGCAGCAGAGAAATATCCAGCCCAAAATGTCAATATGCTAAGGTTGAGAAACCTGACTTTTTTGATAGTGGCGCTGTGAAGAAATAAAGTCTCTGACATCGACATATTATGGCACATTATGTTTTCCAATGAAAATTACTGTCCTTCATTCTAAAATCTTTGGTCTTCATGTCCGTAAAACAGGCAGATAGCTCAAGGTTGTGCTTCTTTCCAATGACATTTTCCCTTTCCTAAATCATACCAGTTCTAATGATACACTTCCTTTTCCTACCCTGGAGATTAATTTCATGTCCTCTGCTCAGAAGCTGGGGGTATGTTGTATGGGTGGCTGTGCTGCTGGGGGTGGGGCAGGATGTGAGTAAAGAAGAGAAGAGAGAGATGGTGGGAGAAAGTGTCCAGAATTGAAGAAACTGCACAAAAAGAGGTTTGTTATTCTGGCTGGCAAGCTGTACACATGTGCTTTTCAGTCCTGATTTCAGACCATCGGGCTGCCCTCTGCCCCCACAGCTGCCTGCTCCCTTGCTCCCCAGGAGGAGCTGGAGAAGGAGCAGAGGTTAGCCAGTGGAAGAGCTGGCAGGCAGTAGCTTCAAGACAGCTATGTCACTGGCAGGAGGAGGAAGAAGGTAAGATCCCAGGACTCTGGGGCCGGGAGGACACACACCAAGGAGGAGAGGACAAGCCAAGAGAGAAGCTTCAGCATAACCCTGCACAGACCACTCTAGGACCAAGCCATGTTCTGTGGTGCCCTGCTTTCTCACCACCACCATCACTGTGGGCTTTTACCTCGTTGTCATTTCTACAGTGCCTTATCGAGTGCTTTGATGTCTGGAATATCTTATTTATTCCATACACAGCTCCCAAGCTGGAGTCCATCTTGCAGAAGTTGACTTGGCTGGTTAAACTCGTTCTGTGTTTCCTGATCAGCAGTTTCAACAATTTCAGTGATGAAATGCAAACACCTGCAGCTGAGGAAGGGAAACATGTAAAGGACAGGCTGGAGTTGAGAGTGAAATTCTTGGCCTCCAAAGCACTCAGGATTGTCTGTAGGACTTTCCCACACCCCTGACACTGTCCATGGTGCCCACTAGGGATGCAGTGCACCTTTCCTTCCTCGTAATTAAGTCTTGCAACAAGTAGGCAGAGTAGATACAACCTTCTCCTGCTGTACAGATGTAGAAACTCAGGTTAAAAGATGTTCTGTAACTTCCTAGAAGCAAAAGAGCCAGGAAAGCATTGTTAGGATTTGAACCCAGATAAGTGTGACTCCAAGGCTACAGGCATGCCACTTAATTTTACTTGTCTTCGTCAGGAAGAGGAAATAAAAGGGCTGCAATGCCTAGCCCCAAGGGAGGACAATTTTCTAACGTCATTCAAACTATCCTTCTGCCTACCTCTTTTCCCACCTGCTCCCATACATTGTGAAGACTGGCAGGCCACCTTTCTGGGGAGTGTCTTCTTCTTAGTCAGCTCTCTCCCCCAGCTCACAGCTCCCTAGAAACAGAGAGAAACCGGTGGGTCTCCTGTTAGTTCAGTGGTTCTCAAACTTGAGCTGCATCAGAATCACCCAAAGGGCAGGTTATAGCACTAATTTCTGAGCCCTACTTCCAGATGTTTTGGGCTAGTAAGTGTTGCCATTCTTTTATAAGGCCAACATACAAATCCAGAGTTCTCCTTTAAAATCTGCAGGAATCAAAGATTTCCCCACCTCCTTTGAGAAACAGTTTAGTCAATGCTACCCTCTTGTTAAACCAAACAACCTCAATGTCTATGGCTGGGAGAATAAATAAATTACAGTATATCCACACAGTAGAAAACCATAAAGCAATGAAAATTAATAAACTGCTGCTACCACATCAATATGGAGGAATCTTGCAAATATCATTTTAAATGAAAATATCAAGTCACAAAACAATACCTATGATACAATGCCATTATACACTAAAATATGCATATATATTGTTTAGAAATATATGCATAAATGATAAAAAAATATAAAGAAAAATATTAAAATTATAAGAAAAAATAAATTCAGTGTGATTGCTACCTCTGGGGGGAAACATAAAGAAATACATTGGAAAAAGCATTCAGTACAAAGAAAGCAGTAGTATAAAACAGTAAAAAATAGTTCTTTTTAAAAGGTAGATCGTTGGACCAGGCACGGTGGCTCAGGGCTGAAATCCTAGCACTTTGAGAGGCTGAGATGGGTGGATCACCTGAGATCAGGAGTTTGAGACCAGCCTGGCCAACATAGCAAAACCCCATTTCTACTAAAAATACAAAAATAGCCGGGCATGGTGGCAGGTGTCTGTAATTTCAGCTACTCAGGAGGCTGAGGCAGGAGAATCACTTGAAACAGGAGGCAGAGGTTGCAGTAAGCTGAGATCACGCCACTGCACTCCAGCCTGGGTGACAAAGCAAGACTCCATCTCAAAAAATAACAACAAAAAAAAGTAGATCGTTGTTTATGGGTTTTGGTTTTACCACTATGTACCATCACTTACATATTATAAATATTATTGTATAACTATATCATATTTGAATTAAAAATAAAATTTAAAGAAATTTAAATGTTAAGCATTCAGAGAATATATGCCAAAATGTTACATTTCTTTTGGAAAATGGGAAGAGGACGCATTACAGCATACTGTCATTTTCCATATTCTATAATTCTATATCGTATTTGTTCTTCATGATGTTTCTATTTGAAAAAAGAATGAAGATTAAAGAAAAAAATAAATTGAAGTCATGCAATGCGAAATATAAATTATGTATGATTTGTATGTACAAATCATATGAGATGTATGTACAAATCATGTGAGAGGACATTCTGGACAAGGCAAGCTCTTGGCATTTGATAGATGCTAATGCTGCTTCTTTTTGCATTACAGGTTTAGACAACTGATGCTTGAGACACACCAAGGTACCTGCACACTAGAGGCTGCAGTCACCTCAGAAGAAAGATGCCCCCTGCTCTGGCTGGTCAAACGGAACCAAGTCCGTCTTCCTGAGAGGTTTGGTCCCCTTCAACCAGCTACAGCAGGGCTGGCAATGCCCAGTCCTTGGAGAAACAGAAGAGATTCAACTGCGACTGAAATTGCCTACTAAAACTTGCCTTGAGAAAACAATCCTGGTTTTTTCACCATACTTTCATGCCCCTAGAAAGGAAGGGAAAAGGAGTCCTGGAGTCAAAAGTGAGCAAGATTTTAATGCTCAACACACACTGTTCCGTGCCTTTGCGCTCGCAGCTACAGCCACTCACATGCTTTAGACACACACACAGTCAGGAAAGAGTTTGAGGATGGAGACTGTACCAACCCTAAGTCAGCTGGGGGAAGAGCATGAGACATAGAAGACAGTGCTCCTGCTCACTAGGCGCTAACAGTCTAAGGAAAGAAATTAGACATGTAAATATGGCGTGATCCAATTGAATTGCAAGTCATAGCATGGCTAGTTGCAAGGCCTACTTCTTCTTACCTATCCCACCAAATATGCCTAGCACATTATGTATCAGCAAGTCTCTATTGATCTATTCAGCCCAAGAAATCTATTCACTAAGCAATCACTTCTCAGTTCCCTGATCTGTAGAATGGGGATAATCGTACCTGTCACACCAGGCACAGTGGCTCATGCCTAAAATCCTGGCATTTGGGGTGGCTGAGACAGGGGATCGCTTGAGGCCAGGAGTTCCAGATCAGCCTGGTCAACATAGCAAGATGCTGTTTCTACCAAAAAAAAAAAAAAATTTTTTTGTTTTAATTAGCTGGATGTGGTAGTGCACACCTACAGTCCTAGCTACTTGGGAGGCTGAGGCAGGAAAATGACTTAAGCCCAGGAGATGGAGGCTGTGATGAGCTAAGTTCTCATAATTGCTACCTTTTACTTAGGGAGAATTCTGACCTGTCCTTCCAATTTATTTTTTAAGATGTGTGTCTTTTATGGTGTGTGTCTGGAACTTAGATAGCAATAAGTAAACATTTGGGTTTTAAAGTCTATAGACATGTGTGTTCACATGCTGTATTCTGACACAAATGGGGTAGCATAAGTGCCTAGAGCCCACCACAGCGACCTCAGAGGAGAACACAGAGTTTACTTGCACAAATCTTTGCATTCAGGAAGACCTGGGTTTGAATGCTGACCCTCTAATTTATTAGCTGTGATATATCCTCTCTGCAGCTCAGTTAACATTGCACAAGCCTTAGTTTACTCATCTGTAAAATGGGAACAATGATACCAACCTCAATTACCATAAGGTTTAAAACAGACAGGGTTAATAAAAAGCCAAATATAAGCCCTCAAGAAATGGTAGCTGTTGTTTTACTGTTGTAAATAGGGACAGCACAAGGACAATGCTGTGTCCACAGGCACTCGTATGTGGAAGAGAAGAGCCAAATTTAAAAAAACAAAAAATAGGAGAAGAACTCAAAAAATAAATAAAGGTTCACTGTAGGGTTTTGTTTTTGTTGTTGTTTTGTTTTTGTTTTTGTTTATTTTTTTGAGACAGGGTCTCACTCTGTTGCCCAGATAGAAGTGCAGTGGCACTATCTTGACTCACTGCAACCTCTGCCTCCCAGGATCAAGCAGTTCTCCTGCCTCAGCCTCCCAAGTAAGCTGGGATTACAGGCACACACCACTACCACCCAACTAAGTTTTGTATTTTTAGTAGAGACAGGGTTTCACCATGTTGGCCAGGCTGGTCTTGAACTCCTGACCTCAAATGATCCACCTACCTTGGCCTCCCAAAGTGCTGGGATTACAAGTGTGAGCCACCATGCCTGGCCTATAGGGTACTTTTATATTCCAACTACTGTTAATTCTACTAGCATGTAGCATATATGCATTCATCCTAGTTTATATGACTAGTATGTAATATGCTTTACTTTTTTAAAATGCTTCATACATGAGACTGATCTTACCATCTTCAATATCCTGTCTGGAAAGCCTTCATTTGTGAGTGCTGTTGCGATCACATGTCCTCCCGAGTAGGACGTGGAGTGTGAAGGCCATGGAGTGGGTGTTCCAAAGGGCAGCACAGAATGGAGTTTAGCTTTAGGTGTTGGGGACACACTACCTGGGCTCAAGCCCCAGCTCCCCTCTCTCCAGCTGTGCCACTTGAGCAAGTTGCTTGACCTCTCTGAGTCTGAGTTTCCTCATCCGTAGAGTAGAATATTGATAACAATATCTACTTCATAGAGTTTTTTATGAGAATAAAATGAATACATGTAAAAGCCTGAAACCAGTATTGGGTACATAATAATACATTCTTAAGAAGAGTCTTTATTTTTGACAATGTACCTGAAATGTTCCTGAAATTAAGTTGGCATTCAATAAAAACTTGTTCACTAAAAGATCAGCTTATTTGTTTATTTTAAGCACAAACTATGGGATCATGTAATTTTTGGTTCAACTATTTCTACTTATCTCTTTCAATGCAGCACACTTGTTCAAAGCAGTAGTAAGATGTCAGGGGAAGGATGGCGACAGGCTTCTCTCTGCTTCCCAGTTCTGTGGTGAGATGGAACTTCCCTGCGAACCAGGCGTACGCCTCTGGGAGTAGAGCAGGGTGATCTTGAAGCGCAATCGCAGAGCTGTCACCCGGAAGTCACCTGGCAGAACAGAAAACAAAAATGATATGACTAAATACCAGCCGTCCTTAACAGGAGGGATCTTTTCTGTCCGGAAGGGCAGAGGTCATGTAGGTAAAGATTAGATAAACAATGCTAGGTACAGTTTAAAGGAGTGTAAAGAAAGGGTCACTTTCATATTTGGGATTTTATGGCTAAAACACCTGATAAAACTGGACAAGACCATATAAGGCTAAGACTAAATAATGTCTTCTTCTCTGTTAGAAAGAAGCCAGCCAGGCCAGGCATGAGGGTTCATGTCTATAAATCCCAGCACTTTGGGAGGCCAAGGCTGGCAGATCACTTGAGCTCAGGAGTTCAAGACCAGCCTGAGCAAAACCCCATCTCTACAAAAAATACCAAAAATGAGCCGGGCACAGGGATGGGGACACTGAGGTGGGAGGATCGCTTGAGCCCAGGAGTTTGATTGAGGCTGCAGTGAGCTGCAATGGCACCAGTTCACTCCAGCCTGGGTGACAGAGTGAGACCCTATCTCAAAAACAAAAGATAAAAAAAGGAAGGAAGGAAGAGGGAGGGAGGGATGGAAAGAAGGAAGGAAGGAAGGAAGGAAGGAAGGAAGGAAGGAAGGAAGGAAGGAAGGAAGGAAGGAAGGAAGGAAGGAAGGAGGGAGGGAGGGAAGAAGATAAAGGAAAGGAAGGAAGCAGACAGAAAGGAATAAAGAAAAAGAAAAGGAGAGGAGGGGAGGGAAGGGGAGGGGAGCAAGCTAGCATACTTCTGGCAAGGGCTGGAGAACATGAGTGAACATTGTCATCCAACTTTCCACCCACCTCCTTGACCTCAAGGGTCTTTGCACAACACATCTTTGAAGGCCACAGGATGGAAGGAGTTCTAGTCATAGCCTGCCTCCAAAGTCAAAATATCATACTGTCCCCTCTTATTTACTCTTGGAGAATTCAACTTCCATTCACATTTCTGTCTGATTTTCCTTAAACCAGGAGGGGAGCAAATGTACTCCTGTTGCCACTCATCACTATAAAAACAGACAGAACCTTTAAGAAAACATGTTTTCTGGTAAGTTTGAATGACCTTGATATCCATATTCAAAGGTTCCACAAACCCAAACTCTCCATTTCAGTAAGAAATCAAGAGGAATCAGAGAATGGGGACTGCTGCCCACGGGCTGCGGTTGCTCATCCTGCCACAGCCCCTCTTCAGGGCAGAAATCTAGGTTAGGCCACCCAGTGGGGCATGTGGTTTTGTGATTGCTGCTGTGTCCCTTTATGTGTGTTCCTGTATCATCATCCATCCTGTGCCAGTAAGTAGCGGCCCATGACGTCA